CAGCTTCAGGGAGCACGGAAAATGCTTTCACTCCTCTAACTTTCTCAGCCGTGTTAAGCGGAGCGGTGGCTGCTCTGCAGCACACTGGGCGTCCAGCTGTTGGTCTGTCAGCGCGGCCGCGGGTGCTGAGAATAAAACCGGTGGCACTGCCAGACAGGCGGAGCTTTGCGGGAAGGAGCGGCGTTTGTCCACACGGCGCCCAGCGTGAGGTGAGGAGCGCTGTGCAGGAGGGTCGGCTCCGCTGCAGCTCTGTGCTGTTGTCTGCGCTGTTAAAATATTGAAGCAGCTGAGAAGCTGCAGTCACGCACTGTGGATGGAGAGCACTGTTCTGGTGCTGCCGCGCCGGGCTGCAGGATCAGTTAACTGCATTGCTCAGGTTCCACCGGGCTTAAGAGTGGGACTCCTGCACAGGATGCTGTGGCGAGGCTGGAGAGAGCAGCTCGCAGCTCCCCGGTGCGTTCACACAGCACTGACAGTAAATTGCAGGACTGGGGGAGAGATGGGTGTGGGGAAAAGGGAATGGCCGTGTCCATTGCGTCCTTTTGGCTTCTCTCTCCTGATAATTAAACAACACAGATGAGGACAGAGTTGGGTTTTCAAAGCCTGGGTCTTTGTCTTCTGACCTTGCTGCTGACACGCTGCCTTTTGTTTGTAATCTTGGGTGAGAAGCGACTGAGAGGTGGTTTGATAGGATACAAGTGCAAACAATGGCTCGCCTGGAAGATAGGATGAATGGGATTTAATTGAATTTTTTGTGAAGACATTGATTTGACCCTGTAAGACATATAGAGTGAATCATTAGGGGAATTAACACACATTAAAATGCAGGGATTTTTTTTTTAATCAGAGAGCTTTTATTGTGCATATAGTTTTGTTTTTAATTATTTAATGACTTTGTGTCTCATAGTGATAAATCTATTTCTTCCCCCTTTTCTAAAGGAAAAATGCTGTTGGTGTCATAAAGTGGCGCGTGAACAGAGCTGATGAATACTGAATCTTCATTGCTGGCCCTGCAAAGCCAAGCACTGACAACCACAATTTCCAACAACCATCTTCATGCTGCTGACATGCTGCAGACATTCCATGTCTGACCACTTCCTGCTTGGCTTTTCAGATGTTTTTCCTAATCTGTGTATGAGGAAAGTCTGAGCAGGTGTACCCTTCCCTCTACCCAGAATTGGAAACCTGGTTTATTTTTCAAATTCCTCATATGAAAAGCTGCAGTGATTGCCAAAACCAGGTTCTGATCAGCTGTGAGATTAAGGGTGCCCTCAGCCCACGTGTGAGTAAGAGGGACATTGAAATGGGAATGGCTGTGGTGCCTGTATGAATGCCAGAGGAGCAAACCCAGAGCAGGTTTAGGTTTGGTCTGGGGTGAGGTGCAGCCACAGTCTGGCACTGGGAGAGGGGGAGCAGGTTGGCTGGCTCCATCTGCTGCTGCTGTGGGATGAGGTCCTGCAAGCAGATCCCCTGCTTGCTCTGTTGGGCTTCCATTGCTGCACGTGTTCCTTTCTGAAAGGTCGGCTCTGCGTTGCTCGTTCTGCTGTGCTGGGTTAGCTGGTGCGTCTCATCGCTGCAGGTACAGATATTCCCTTTGTCTGCTTATCTCTTCTAGCATTAATTTATTTCACTGGTAATGCGACTGCATCAAGGGTTGCTCTGCAGCTCCCAAGCTGCCAGTGCTGCTGTTGGCTTGGCAAAATAAATTTCAGCCTGTACTATTGGAGGGGTCACGATGTGAGGCTGAACAGTGCTTTAGCACCAGGCACTCCTTCAGCATCTGTCCCATGGCCTGCACAGCTGCACGTCTCCCTCCACCTGCGCAGCAGTTCCCTGCACCCGTCTGTTCTTCCAGGCTCGCTCCCCTGCCCTGCTCCATCCCAGCACTCCCTGTGCTGTGGGGCACCCAGCAGTCCCTGAGCCTTCTGCCAACATTGCTGGGGGAAACCAGCCCTGCTCACTTCATGCCTTCTGCTGAAAGCTTTTCTTTTTTGTCTGCCTATTTTTTCCCAAGTGTTCGCTCCAAGTATCACTGAGCATCACTGAGTCATCTGTTTCTTGCGGTTCTGCTACAATGTGAGGTGGTAGACAAGAGATTATTTTCCCAGATTCTTGTTGCTTATGTAGTGACAGAAGTTGGCACATAGGTGTCAAACTGTAAATAGGAATTTCTGCTTGTTTCTGCTCCGCGTCTTGTGGAGTTGTTTGACTGGGATAACTTGCAGCCATTTTAGCAGGAGCACTCCTGAAATGAAGTGCTTTGACTTTGTGTATCCTGGATCCCTTTGCAGCTGTGGCAGTGGGGAGTGGGGTTGGAGGCGCATTCTGCAGCAGATGGGGCTGGGGGAGGTGCTGTGCTGAGCCCCAAGGTGTGTGCAGGGCTGCTGGCCGTACTGCTGGGCTGTGCTGTGCTCTGTGCGCATCCCATCCTGCTGCCCCCATTGCGTGACTCCTTGTTCTGTGTATGAGGAGCACATGGAGGGCGTTCTGCCTTCTTGCTGTACGTGTTAATTCATACTGCCGCTGTGAGCTCGGTTTTCCTTGTTATCCAAGGTATTTCCTCTGGAGGAGGGAAATCAGGCTGTAATGTATCATTAAGCAGAAAGCCTCTGGGAACTCCTATCCTGGCTGATGTGAATCCCGCTTTTATCCTGTTAGAAGAATTGAATTATGCATTTTGAATCGTCTGAACATCTAGCTCTGGGCCTGGTTGGAGCCCTTGTTTTCCATATTACCAGAGTAGGGACAGGAGCTCCTGGGATGCCTCCCTGAGCAGCACCCAGCACGTACATGCACGTGTGTTTCTGTTGGTCACTCGTGTGCCTGCAGCACCGATTGCTCTGCATTCACTGCACACACACAGATTGCAGCTGGTAGGAAGTTGCAGGCCAGCTCTGGGCAGTGAGGCTGAGCTGCTGCAGGGCTGCTGTTTCTGCTGCTGTTGGGCAGACACAGGTTACAGTTTCAGAGAAGGAAAATGCACCGATGGTGCGTTTAATGAAACGGCCCTGCAGTGCTGCCTGCTGTGCCCTGCCTGCTGAGCTGGGTGACCTCCGGGGTTTTAAGGAAGTGCTTTTTGCCTTCAGATGCACCACCACGCTTTTCTTGTGCTCTTTGTGGCTACCTGGAGAAAGAAAAGCCCACTTACAAAAGCAGGAGCTGCCTGAGCGCCTCCCGCACGCACACAGTTATGTGACCATTCTTTATTTCTGACGCTTCCGTTTGTCCGAGTGGGATGACAACAGAGACTTTAAATCTACTTATTCTTTTGTCTGCTGAAATGTGCTGAGCGAGTCCAGGTCAGCAGAGTGGAGGTGAGGGAAAACAATTTTTCTGTCTCTAAATAGCAACGTTTTGTTGCTGCAGTTCTTTTCTTCCCTGACAGTTTGGGGATGAAGATCTCAAGCATGCGGCGCTCAGGCCAGCTGGGAAGGGGAAGGAGATCAGCCTTTGGTTGAGACCTTCATTTATGAGCCCGAAATGCTTTGCTTTTCGGTGCTGACGGTGCCATGGTGCAGGTTTGGTTTGCCATGGGAGCTACTAGTTCTTTCATTCTCCTCACGGTAAACGAATGTAAGAATAGGCACAATCCTTTGCTAATTTGAAACGCTCGGAACCTGCCTATTTTTGCAGGATGTTGAGGGTGAATCAGCCTCATCCTCGTCTCCGCATTCAAGGGAATTTGTTTCTTCAAATGCCTGCTTATACAGACCATCTGCCAAGGGCTGCTGTGGGGCTGCGCCAGCGAGGTGCTCCGTCTCACTCATCAGGTGCTGCGAACTCCGCCGCATCTCTGCAGCCTCTGCCTTCGGGTGCTGCGCTGCCGCGGGGTCTTTGAGGCCGCAGCGTGGGATCCCGCAATGCAAAGCTGGTGCAAAACAGCCCAACCTCACCGCGTCTTTCTGAGGCTGTTGGCGGCAGGCTGGTGTGTTTGGGAAGGCAGACGCGTGCTGGTTTGTGGTGCGGGGGGTTCTGGGAGGATTTATTTGCAGTGTAAACATGTTGGTTAGGAGTCATTAATATGACATTCACACAGCTCTAATAAAGCACAGAGCGCGGAGATCTGGCACCGCTGAAACACCCGGAGGACATTATGGATGAGTCTTAAAACCAAGAGTATTGGAAACAAGATATTTTTACGTCTCGTTTGGGAGTAATATAATTGCGTTGTGTGGCTCCAGCAGATGCTTGGGCCAGCTGGTTGGAGAGCACTGCGGGTTTTTTTAGCTTTGGTGCTACACAGATAAAGCCCTGACACAGAACTCTCATTTAAACAAGAAAATCCTTCTGTGGCCGGCAGTGCAGTCCTCACGTTGGCGTTGCACGGCCGAGCTGCCCCACGCTGCTCCCGCTGCCCCCACAGCTCGCTGCTTGGGGCCTGGAGGGCTGCCCCCCGTCAGCCGGGCTCTGTTGGAGCCGTGGGCCATGCGGGAGGGAGCAGCCCCTGATGCGGATGTCACCCACCGGCTTTTTATGGCAACAATTAATAATTCAACAATTCTCTCTGCAGTGATGTTGTTCTATTTATAAATATTTAATTTAGCTTCAAGTGTCCGTGTTTGCACTGCCTTCCCTTCTCCAGGCCGGGCCCCAGCTCTGGCGCTGCCCGCCCTGCCTGCTGCGGCTCTCGGCCGTGCCCTTCCTTGCTGCTCTTGCAGACTGGCCGTGGTGCACGGATGTGCGCGAGGCTCCGGCTCTGTGCTCGTGGGGGCCAAAGCAGAGTGGGAAATAGGAAATAGACGCACTTTTAACCGCAGTAATGCGTGTTCTGCAGCAGTTGTCCAACATCCCAGTTCACAGACAGAAATGCATTGTTTGTATTGTAAGCTGTGGGAACTTTCAAGGTAAAAGGCGCCCGCAAGTGTGAAGGCTTGCTTTGAGTCGCAGGCAGAGCTGGGACTGCGCTTGTTGAAGACGTTCAGAAGGGTTCTGTGTTACAAAACTCCCACTTTTCCAGGACAGCCACGCCAATAACTTTCTTTTTCTGCGTTTCTTTTCAGGAAATTGCAGCTTATTTAATAACGTTTGAAAAGCATGAAGAATGGCTAACAACTTCCCCTAAAACAAGGTAACATTGCTAATAATTCCGCCTGTGAAATGTACATTGACTGATTTCCACTGACTACTTGACTTGCTAATCAATCCGTTGGCCACAAAGTGAAAACTCCCAGTCATGCTTGATGGCTTGTGACACCAAAGTCTCATTAATTGACTTAATGAGCGTTTTATTGAATGAAATCAGATTGATTAAAAATAGAACAGCTGCAATCTTGACAGGTTAAAGTTTTAACTTGATTGTTGAACATTTAATTGTATCCCTCAGATGAGCGGATTTTGCAGGCTCGCAGTGAGGTTGCAGGCTATTTATCTCAGCAGTTCTCCCTGCAGCCTCGAACTTTAAATAAATAAAAAAGCACAAAGCCTTCCCTTGTGCTTTGCCTGTTTAAAATGCATTCTCTGGGATTGTTTGCATTTTGGTGTTTTTCTTGTTGGGGTTAAGTGTTTGATGGTGAGGAGATCCCAAAAAGCCAAATTAACAGACATGTTTGCAGTTTATTATTCAGTAAATGTCATGTATTCTTCTCACTGCCATAAATGTTTAACTTCTCCCATCCCATGGGGTCTGGTATGTTAAGTTTAGACTGCAGATGTTTTTCTGCTATTTCTTGCTGCATTAAGACTCACAAAGTTTTGTTACTTATCAGTAACATGTTTAAATTACACTTTTTTTTTTTCTACCCCCCATTCCAAATCCACCTTCCAAATTGGAAACCCCTATTGTTTCCTTAATGGTTCTCTGTTCTGGTTGAAGGGCCAGGAAATGCAGTAAATTGACCTTTTCTGCTGATGACAGCAATGAGGTTCATCTCTTTCTTTTTGTCTTCGTTGTTTTTTGTGCGTGTGTCTTTGGTGTGCATAAATGCTTTGTTTCACTCCACTTCTTGGCTGCAATACATCAGCTAATATGATGGTATTAGAAAAGGTTATTTTCTGACCTGGCTGGTAATCCGAGTTTCAGAAATGAGGCCGAATAATTTCTTGCTGACCTTTTTCCACATGAGCCCATTAATTGGCTGGAAAACACATTAAGAAGTTGGGGTGCACATGGCATCATTCAAGAGAGGAGATTATCATTGTGTTTGTGGTAGTGTTTATGACTTTAAGAATTAGATTTGCTAAAGGCAATGCATGGAAATACTTTCCTATTAATATTACAATACCTGCGTGTTTACACTTGAAAGAAATAACGTCCCAGGAGACACAGAGTTGTGATGGCTGTTCAAGGACCTTCTCAAATTGTTGAGTTAGTTTTGATTTTTTTTTTTTTTAATTTCTTTTATTATTATAATTAATTGGAGCAGTTAAATGCTGAGATCATGCAATCAGAGCTCTTGGTATTAAAGAATTAATGACATCGATCCTGCACTGAACTGGAACGTTCCCCATTCTTTGTTTGCTGCTGTGGGTGCTTCTAATTTCCTTTCAGAAATTTAATAAAAATGAATTGTCCCACTGACACTTATAGAGCTTCTTAATAAAATGATACATGGTGTGATTTGAGGGACCACTACTAGAAGACTTGCTCCAGCTGACCCAAGGAGCTGCTTCAGGATCAGGTTGGCGTCTGTGCTCTGCGTGCACAGGGAGCGGTGGGCCGATGCGTTCTGGGGACGTGCTGTGGGATCCCCGTGGCCAGGATTGGTGGGAGGAGGGCTGGGAGCTGCTTGCCTACTTACCTTCTGTGCACAAAAACACTGGGTATCTGCCTACTGCAAAACCACCATCCAGCCTTGGTTTTAAAAGTGTAACCTGGTACTTAGGGCTCCTTGTAAATGTGGATAATTGCAATCTCACGCTTGGTTGTGTATCCTGGAATTTGGATATTGAAGAGCAAGATCCGTGAATGTTGGATATTGGGTTTAATTGCAGCAGGGTTGAACCTCTTGCAGAGGATCTGTCACTGGTGGCTCAGTGCGGCGTGGCCTGGCGGGCAGCGAGTTCTGCAGTGTCTGATTGCTGAACTTAATGCCTGTGTGGGAGAAGAGGGGAGAGTTTATTGCAGCCGTAGGTGTGCGCCTGCAACGCCTGAACATCCTGGTCTGTCTCACTGAGAAGCTTCAGTGCTGACAGCGCGGTGCAGTCAGATTCGGCTGTGCTGTGGCCGCTGTGATGACGTTAAGGGAGCCGTAAGGAAACTTTTAACGGTGTCTAAAATGGCTTTTTTATGAAACTTCTCGTTAGACGACTCGAGTTGATGAAACATGCTAATAAATATGCTGGAATATTATTAAAACTGTCTTTCAAGCTTTCCAGTTTATCGACATAAATTACCAAGTCTCTCCCTATGCACAGACCTTGATGTTTCCTTGTGATGGTGTTTGGTTAGTTGATAATTTGCCAGATAATCCACAGTGGGTATTCCAGTCATCAGCGCAAATTGGCGAAGCTTTTTTTTGCTAATGCAGCAATACTGCAATCTCTGACATTTCCAAGTTTAAATGCAAATCATTTAACAAAAATTACTTGACATTTATATATCAAGTAGAATTTAATCGTTATTTACATTGGAATTTCAATGACAAAGCTGATGCTCTTCATCCAGAAAGTTCTGTTCTATGGATTTACTTTGCTAATTTGCTTCCCAGCACCTTCTCTAATTACCTGTCTTTGTTTTGCATGGAGCGTGTGTCAGAAGTGTTGGCAATATCCAGTGTGGTTCTGCCTGTATTTGCAGGTGAGGCGCTGAGCTGAAGCTGTGAGGTCAGTTTTCAGCTGGGGACGGAGCTGGGATGTTTCAGCCATGCACACGGACAGGGTGGGCTCCAGAGCTCCAAAAAACAAATGTCAGGAGCATAGAAGTTGCCCCGTGCTGCTGCAAAGCCTGGGAGATGGGTGCTGCTTGGGAAGCCAGCTTCCAGAAGCTGACACTGCGATGAGCCCTCATTTGTACTGAGATGTGAAGTGGTTGGGGAAATTCCCAGATGCGGATTTTCAGCCCTGAAAGGAACTGAGTGCTGTTTTTAGGCAGCGAGACTTGGCAATGATTAATATTTCGGGAACGAAAAGAAAGTTCAGTTGCAGCACACCCATACAAATCAATAGCGATTTGCATACGCTGTCAGTATCTATTTGCAGTAATTTAGTCTTACTTATGCTACCTACTGGGTTATTTTTAGCATTTTTATTTCCCTCTCCCGGCTTAAGGAAAACAAGCCTTGCTTTTCATTTAATAGACAAGGACAGTGGGGCCGCACAGCGTTTCCTGCTGATAAATTCTGACCTAATAAATCACGAAGCTGTCAGGACCTGCTTCATCACAGCAGCACAGGAAGGTTTCGCTCCGTTGGCAGCATCTGGCGGGGAGCAGCAGAGCTCCTCTCACCTATGAGTGCTTTCCTTCTCGCAAGTGAGGCCACCGAGTCCTCCTTTGGGCTCTGTGCTCTGCAGCTCCACGCACAAACACACATAGCACAGCTACGTCCCATCTCCGACAGCCATTTTTATCTGAGATTGCCGGGGGCTCCTAAAGATAAGTTGAGATTTTGCAGTATATTAATTTTGTATTCAATAATTAATAGTAGAATTAATTGAATTATTCAATTTTCAGGTAAAAAAAAAATAGAGTAATAAATATTCATAACTTATTTTATTAAGGGAATTTCCATTTCCTGTGTCATTAAAGTGAGATTAACTCAGGTTGGCTTTCAGTGGGGACTGAAAACAATTGTGCCGTATTGCTAATTTGCTGTTAGGTTGATGCTTTGCAAGCCAGCTCTCCAGTGTGCTCTGTGCTGAGGCCGCTGTGGCACACTGCATTTGTTGTGCTTTTCTCAGTGCAATTATTCAGTTTCAAAATGTGTTTCTCCCCCACACCCCTTTATGAGTGTTTTTTTTATTATTATAAACTTCTCAAAACTTGATGTCGTCAAAATACGAGGTACCCACAGCTCCTTGCAGGAACCTTTTTAAACTCAACCTACTTGGCTGCTGGTTCACATCAAAAGCGCTGCTGAAGTTCGCCCTGATCTTTCAGCTGTGCAATAAGAGGCAGCAGTCTCTGTTGCAGTTTGCACCTGTTTTTTGACAGCTCGTGAGTGAACTGTTGGAGAAAAGACCTGGAATTCCTTGGCTCTGAGGCTCGATGCAATTGGTGAAAAGCTCTTCAGGTATTGAGAAATCCTTTAGAAGTGCCATCGTGGCATTTAGTTACTGATTTATGTGTTTATTTTTGCTGCTGTGGTGTCCTGGAGGGGATAAGCAGAATGGAATGGAATGGAGATGCCTCCTGAGGCTGCAGGAGATGCAGCAGCATGCGTCACACAGTGGCTGGAGGTCCCATGAAGCCACCAGCACAGTATTTGTGAGTGGTTCCAGGATGTCTGATCTCCTGTTCTCATTCACAGAAATAACAGCACTCAAACTCATTTTTGAGATCCCACACACACTTTGAAGGTCCTCCCTCGCTTACACAGCTCATACGTTCCATAGTATGTGCGATTCTCAACCTTCCCCATGCCTGATGCTGAAGTTCTGTGCTTTCTTCTCATGTTGCTGACAGTTCTGTTTACATGTTTGGGGTCCTGTATGACCTATTTTTCCTCCATGAAAGGAAATGTGTGAGCTGTCAGCTTTTTCTAGCTTGGGATGCTGCTTGACATAATCCCTGCTAAATATGGCACATCTCTTTTTACACTTTAAAGATTTCATGACTCTGAACACTTTCTTCTTACTGCTCAGTATTTCCTACTTCTTTTTTTCCTCCCTGAAGAGGATAAACTGTATGGGGATGGTTTTAATAGGCATTGATTTGTATAGATTTTTAGCCCCTGTGGTCCAGGAGAGTTGAGAAGCCAATAATTAATTCTTTCAACAGCTCATTCCTTTTGTTTTAAAATGACCTAATAGCAAAATTGCTGGTAGCCTTCAGAATGCATGGCCCAGATCTGTTCACCCTCTAAGTATTTCATTTAAATGCTTGCCATGAATTATTCAGGTAGGATAGCAGGTGAATGCTGGTGCTACTGGAGAACTTGTCTTGCTTAATATTTAACTGGGAACTCAGGAGAG